CAGGCCTACCAGTTCATCCGAACCATCAGTTTGATTACTAACAGGCTGTCTGGCAGAATGTAAAAGTAGCCAGTGATGGACTGTTTTCATGAGTTGAATTTTTTCTAAAAAGTTTAGTCACAGGTACATTAAAAAAAACATGTAATGTACCAGAATGGCTGTTTTTCATCTGTAGTCGCTAGACATAATGTTAAGATCACCCCAAACAAAATGTAATTAACATACATATTAAAACAACTTTAAATTACATAGAGATATACCCCCGAGCTATCTCTTACAGTTGTTAGTGTAATATACTATTCTCATGCGGCTTTTATGGAAAATGAAAACATTACAATTTGACTGTTTTTACACATTTTATTGCAAACAATTTTTTTTTTGTCACGTTGACACATTTACCATAGGATTTAAAGTGCATTTGCAACACGTGTGGAACTATTATATGTTAAATAACAATATCATCTGCATAAATAGATATTATTAAATTTATATATTATATATTATTAAATGTATATATATATATATATATATATATATATGTATATATATATATATATATATATATATATATATATATATATATATATATATATATATATATATATATATATATATATATATATATATATATATATATATATTTTTTATAAGTTTTATATTTGAAGGTACAAAGTAGTCATTAATTAAACTTACAGGACCACAAACATTTGAACTTTGGATGAAGTCATCTTCAAAATGATTGAGAGGGGTCTGGATGCAGACCTGGTGCAGTGCAATCTGAGCTGCATCCTATGCTTTTTAATGCACTCACCTAACCCCACCCCTAACCCGACCCGTCACAGTGATGTCACTCACTCCATTGAGTGCTTTCTCGAGTGATGCAATCTCAGCTTGCATCATAAAGGCTGCATCCATATAACATTGAAATGATTGTTTTCTTTTTTGACATTTGAGTGTAAAGTTTTTACATAGGGAATTTGGAGAAGTTTTATCTCTTCATAATTCAAATAATACTGTGAACAGCCAGAAAAAAAAAACATTCACAATATTTGTAGAATAAAATATACTGCTAAAAAAAAATAAAGGGAACGCTTGGACTTACATTGTGTTTTTTAAGTGTTTCCTTTATTATTTTGTTTTTTTAGCAGTATACAGTGCTCAGTATGATTGAGTACACCCTATTTTGAAAATGAATAATTTTTATCCATTTCTCAGTGAATATAGGCAATGTTTTTGGTGCATTTAAACAAAACAGATTTATTAAATTGATATATTTAATAAAATAATAGTTTAGATTGAAAGTTAATAAAACAATTACAACCTACAAAATTACAAGTAAATGTTTCATTAATTAATTAATTTTTTTGCTTCTCTTAATTTTTCCCTCTTTTTAACATTTGTTTTTAATATTTTTCTGTAACATATATTTGGGTATACTAGTTTTTGGACCATTATCGTAAGTTATTTTGTTTGATAAGCTGCAGATTTGGCTTCAGTACTGACTAATTTAATATATATGCACAAATATGATATTGTATAGCTTCCTATTAAAATATGAATTTAAAAGAAAGATATGTGTGAGATGTACTTATATTCTTAGCACTGTAGATTTGGTGTAAGCACTGATGAAGTGGAGATTAGAGACTTAAATAAACTGGCATAAACATTATATAAATAGATTTATAATAACACATCTTTTTGACAGAACTGTCTTTAAAATTTGTGTTATAACTGAAATATACAGACACGAAAGCTTTTTTTCTTCTCATTTTTCAAATAGGGCTGACGATTCCAAATTGACATGTGCATGAAAAAACCTGCTGAGCCTCACCTTAAAAAATTGCATCTAAGTAAAATATCCAGTTTAACTAGACTTAAATACATTATGTTAACTATTAATGTGCCATTAAAGGATACCATTCTGATATTGTATACGACAAGCATCACCAATCTCGGTCCTGGAGGGCCGGTGTCCCTGCAGGGTTTAGCTCCAACCTGCTTCAATATATCTGCCTGGATGTTTTAAGTATGCATAGTAAGACCTTGATTAGCTGCTCAGATGTGTTTGATTACGGCTGGACCTAAGATCTGCAGGACACCGGCCCTCCAGGAACAAGTTTGGTGAGCCCTGGTATACGGTCTCTGCAGTGTAAAACCTGGGTGTCTGTAAATGTTGAAAAATGTCTTATTTGAACATCCTAGACATTCCCAAAAATGACAGAAAACAAAGAGTCTCCTCCTATGGAAGTCAACGGCGCATAAGGGGAAGCTGATCCTAAGTCAGAAGTATGACATATCCATGGAAGAGAAACAAAACTCTCAATTTGAGGAGGAAAACACTGGGTCACCTCATGAAAAAGAGAAAGATGATATAATGAACCCACTCCTATCCTTACATGTGGACCTAGAAGTAAAACCACCACTAACCACTATAAAAACTGGTATGATGAGAGTGTTTGTGTGTGAGATTAACAGATTGACCTTTTACAACCACATGTGGTTTTAATGTACTGATAAGTAGGATTTTTCCATTGTATGTCTTTCTAAATGTACTGTAGGTGTGATTAAACACAGAAGACTCAGATTCACAATCCAGTCCAAACTGCTGTGAGTAAACGATTTAATATTTTGTGTGTGTGTGTGTGTGTGTGTGTGTGTGTGTGTGTGTGCGTGTGCGTGTGCGTGTGCGTGTGCGTGTGCGTGTGTGTGTGTGTGTGTGTGTGTTTGTGTGTGTGTGTGTGTGTTTGTGTGTGTTTGTGTGTCTGTGTGTGTGTGTCTGTGTCTGTGTTTATGTGTAAGAGAGAGAGAGACCCTGGACTACAAAATCATAAGTCATCAGTTCAGTTTTTTTTTAAGTTGTCTAAATTAAGCTGTTAGCAATGCATATTAGTCTAAGGCTACTAATCAAAATGTGAGTTTGTATATATTTCCAGGACATTCACTACATTTTTTTTCATCAAACATGATTAATGATGTGTGGCATTAAAGCAAAATCAATAATTTTGACCTGTACTTTTGCCAAAACATATACAATTGAAATCAGAATTATTAGCCCCCCTGAAGTTTTAGCCTGCTTGTTTATTTTTCCCCCAATTTCTATTTAACGGAGAGAAGATTTTTTTCAACACATTTCTAAGTATAATAGTTTTAATAACTCATCTCTATAAACTGATTTTTTTTATCTATGACATTATGACAGTAAATAATATTTTACTAGATATTTTTCAAGACACTTCTATACAGCTTAAAATGCATTTAAATGATTAACTAGGTTAATTAGGTTAACTAGGCATGTTAGAGTAATTAGGCAAGTTACTGAATATCGATGGTTTGTTCTGTACTGTCAAAAAAATGACTTAAAGGGGCTAATAATTTTAACCTTAAAATAGTTCATAAAAAATTAAAAACCTCTTTTATTCCAGCCAAAATAGGACAAATGAAACTTTATACAGAAGAAAGAAAATTATCAGATATACTGTGAAAATTTCCTTGCTCTGCTAAACATCATTTTGGAAATATAAAAAAAAAAGAAATAAAATCAAAGGGGTGCTAATAATTCTGACTTCAACTGTATCCACGCAACATACTGCAAGACCAGGGTCATTTGTTTATTTATTATTATTTCTTTTAAACAATTTGAAATGTAATACTACACACAAAATGACAAAAAAAACTTATTAATAAATATTTGATTTGTTAAGTCAGTTTTACTGAACATGCTTTGTTATGTGGATGTCAGTTCATGTTGCACATGTCTGTAGTTTTGCTATAAACAATTTTGACTCTCTCTCTCTCTCTCTCTCTCTCTCTCTCTCTCTCTCTCTTGGATATCAGGGAAACGCTCTGTGATACTGTCAAATGAAGCCCAGAAGGAGAAAGTTTAACTGGTCAGAGCTTTCAAAGATGAGCGCAGAGCAGCTCTTGATTCCCGACACAAATACCTCATCTCTGTCATTGCAGAGGCGATCAGCCTGGCAGACATGGAAGTCGAGGGAGCTATGATCGCGGATGATAAGGTGTGTAAAATATGATACTGTTGACTAGGGGTGCACATCATATCACCAAAAAAATTGCATTATTACAATAATAATATATGAAATATACTGTACATATTGCAGTTGTGTGAAGTGAAGTTTTATTAACTAATTTTCGAGAGATGATTAATCGTGGCTGGCGTAATCAACGATAATGCAATCAGATTGATCCAAGCCTACAATAAATAAACCGATTCCTATACTGCTTTCGTTTTGGAAAAATCCCTCCTCCACCCCATCTCCTCCTTTTTCTCCTTTTCCAGGGGGAGCTTTTGAGACCTACCTGATCTCGGACCCCCTTATATGCTAATTGACCAGACGGGAGCCCTGGGCTCAATTATCTCCAAGCTCAGGGTTCTCTCCCAGGACAGCATGCCAAACCTGCAAATAAAGTCAAGCAATATCTAAATGTGAACTCTTGACATGACATTTATTTTATGTGTTGTTTGTTGATATGAATTTGACCAATCAGATGGGGCCTATATCCCCAGTAGTTGCTGTTCTGCTATTGCCTGTAGCAACCCAAAGGTGACTCTAGAGCTGAAAATACATACTAATGGCGGTAATTAAGAGGAGAGAGGAAAAATACAACGCCAATAAGAGTCACTCATTTTTTATTCATTTATAACATTTTAAAGGGCTCTATTTTGACGGTCCATGCGCAAAACGCAGGGCGCAAACACTTTCAAGGCGTGTCAGAATGCATTTTTGCTAATATAAGGACGGAAAAATCCGCTTTGCGCCGTGGCGCAAGGTCTAAAATGGTTGAGCTTATTTTCTTAATGAGTTAAAGGTGTGTTTTGAGAATAAACCAATCAGAGTCTCATCCCCCAACTGAGCATTTCACTAGTAAGAAAACAGTTAAACAGAGCATCTGCAGTGAGAGAATGAGAGATAAATGATCTACTTTGCTCTCGTGGATAGAGAAACCTTTACGCACAGACATCAATAAGCCTAAAAATAATTAATTTAGTTTGTTAAGCGCAAATATTTGTTTCAAAACTATTTCTTAATTCTAAAAATATCTAACCAGTTTAGTTTTATATAACTTTTTTTAAATAGCATTTTTTCTCATCAAATATTATAATGTTAGAAATATCGTTATCGCAATACTTCACAACAATATTGCATACTTTGTGCATCCCTACTGTTGGCATTCTCAATACCACAAAAACATTCACTGTGTGCCTATAAATGTGTGAACTTTTATTCTGCAGTTCTACATAATGGAGGAATTCTTCTCAGCCAATTGCTCAAAAAGTCTCATGTTGTTCTACCAAGCTACTGAATCGATTAAACATACTACTTGAATGCCTAATATCCTAAAAGCGTTTGCCTGCCCTAACACAAACAAGTCAATTTCTGCCTGTATTTCACTGTAGTCCAATTCTGGGAACGACACCTCGAATGTAGCCAAAGGACAGAAGAAGCTGTTTATTACATCAGGCGATCATGAGGTACAGTAACAACTCTTGTACACTGTAGGACAATTATTTATTTAATTCATATTTTTTTTTTTTAATTTCTACAGCGCTTTTACAATGTAAATTGTGTCAAAGCAGCTTAACATAGAAGTTCTAGTAAATGTAAACTGTGTCAGTCCAGTTTTCAGAGTTGAAGTTCAGTTTAGTTTAGTTCAATGTGGTTTAAATTTCACTGCTGAAAGTCCAAACACTGAAGAGCAAATCCATTGATGCGCAGCTCCACAACTCCCAAACTGAGCATGCCAGTGGCGAGGAGAATTATTCACAATTACACAATTAACACACTGCTGCTTTCAATCAATCAAATTGCATTGTGCCGTTATTCGTTATTATCATTGGCATTTCAGGGGCAAAGGTGAGCTCGGCTATTACAGGTACTCCTCTAATTAAAACCTAACACTACCATTAAAATGAGGTCAGCGAACTGTCTATAAATCCTTTAAAGAATCCTGAGAAAAACACGTATTTCCAAAAAAAACCTAAACTAAAATTGATTTAACTGGAGCACTAAATTGTTTTATTAATGATTTCCGAAGAATCATGTGACATTGAAGCCTGAAATGATGAGGAAACAGGTTGTTCCAGTCATACAATTAATGCATTTTAAGTAGCTTCGGATGGACAGCATGTTCTAAATGGCGAGTGACTAAGTACTAGATACGTATGCCTGTTGCTTGGGAGAAAAACAATGAACGGCATTACTCTTTACTGATTGCAGGCTCTTACCGGACAGTGTTTGTTTTTCTTGAAAAATCACAGACAAGGCCATAACCACTACAAACATATCCCAGGTCAGTGTGTGTGCGTGTGTGTGTGTGTTTATGACTGTGACTGGCCATGTTGGTACCATCTATAAGTATTTGATTGTCTTATGTCTTTCTCTGCAGGAGGTGAATTTTGGAATGCTTGACTGCTCAGAGTATCCTGCACAATCTGGAGTTTCTTTTTACTCAAGTCATGAACCAAGCCCTCAAGTCTCAGGAGGTATATTATATGATTCAGTGAATTTCAAAAATTATGCTTGGGAAATCATTAAAGGCTCCATTTACTACTGCTATTAAGATGAGTTTCTGTCAATCCAGTTACTGATGTAAGAGACGTTAAATGCAGGTGTAAACTGGCTCTTAATGGTTCATTCATCGACATGGGGCTCTTCATTCAATAGTACTCGTAAATCACACTGAGTGCTTTTGCAGAAGTGATGTGGAGCATGATGGAATCTAAACACAAGTGGTCATGAGATGCATTTCAATGCATGTTAATCACTTGTGATCAGATTACTGTAAACACGTCTTGGTACTAGATTGGTATAACATATACACTCACCGGCCACTTTATTAGGCACACCTGTCCCACTGCTATGTGTTGGCTTGCACTGAGTCACAGTTTTTAAAGTTCAATTTCAAACGGTTTATTTTATTTTGAAGATCTGAGGTGAACTATCTGCTGCTGCTGCTTTCAGTATTATGGTAATGAATGTCATGTAAAATGGCATTCAAACTCACATTATTAGTATTTTACACTGAATAAAGCACATGAGGTGTACCTGTTTCTAAAATATAAATTTCAGGTATTGGTTAGGATAAAAGCTCATGTTAATATGGAAAATATTCCTTCTATTGCATGTGGTTGCTTTCATATAGAAGACGATTTAAATTAGCCTTTAGACTCGATAGTCAGGTCAGCTGCTTTTGGTCCTCAATCATTTGTCGTTGTCTTTGATCCTGGAATGCAATACCGAGTTCAACCACTGGGTGTCAAACCAACACCCTGCACATTTAAATTCTCTCCTCTTTTACTCACCATTCACTCAAAACCTATTCAAGTTTCTTTCTTCTGCTAAGCATAAAAGAAAAATATCTGGTTGCTGGTACCAGCTAACATCCAAAGTATTTTATTTTCCTGCTATGGCAGTCGATGGGTCCCAGCAGCTAGTAGTTTTCTAATTATCGCTTTAGTATTGAACAGAAGAAAGAAACTCATAATGAGGGAAAATACATGATGAGATCATTTTAATTTTTGGGTGAACTGCCTCTTTACACAGTATTAAACTTTAACCTTTAAACATTGATTTATTTTACTTCCAACTTTTGCCTTGTTTTCTATCTTCCTCTTAAGGTACAAATGAAGATCCGGTTACTGTTAGATCTTGAATGGCAGAAGCAGTCCCGTTTCTACTTCATAGATGACACAGACAGATGCATAATCCAAATCACAGATGTGGAGTTTGATTACTGTAATGAGCATCTGGGCTGCACTGATCATCTTGTGATTACTTCCCTTACTGACAGGCCAGTATAGATACATTCAAGACGCCAGGATCATTATAAATACTGGGTGTGTTCACATTTGTTGGGTTTGGTTTGATTAAATCAATTGCTCTATTTAGCTCATTTCATTTGAATGAGTGTGAACATTGCCAAAGGGTGCACGGAGCATGCGTACCAAGGCAGATTGAACTTTTTTGTAGAGTTTTTTTCTGAAATTATTTGCTATTTAATATCAAGCATCTTTCAGCATTTCAAAGAGTTAGATTTAGCATGTTCTATCTTTCTTTTTTTTCTCCAGGTTATTCTCATACTGCCTGTAACATTGCCTATACATACTGTATATAATATTTAGGTCTGGACTCTGTTGAGGCCATTCCATTACTCTCTTTGTTTCATCAACTGATTTTCTCTCCAAATTATATTAGATTTTACATAATTTTTGCAAATTGCTCTACATTTTTCTGTCCATTACATTAGCAGTTTGTTTGGGATCATTATCATGCTGAAAAATAAAACTCATATTCATATTAGGGGCTTTCTAGTAGGATGTACATGACGAAGTAAAACCTGCCTGTGCTTTTTATGGAGTCAATCTGGGGCCATATATACTTGCAACATGAAAGTTTTGCAAACAAAAAATAAAATATTGAGCAAAAAAATTTTAAAATAATGCAAATCTCAAAAAAATCGCAAAGGGAAAAATGAGTTTTAAGAAATAAAAGGAATTTTGCAAACAAAAATAAAGAACTGCAGGTAACTCATTGTGTCTTGATAAATTTCTGATGAATGTATTGCTCTCATTTATTTGCTGATTTGAGTGATTTCAGTATTATTATTATTATTATCTGTTCTATTATTACCCATACCTGTGGCATTATTATCAGGTATGTGTGCTTTGGTAAATAAAAAATCATTCTTTGTAAATGCATTCAGAGATGAGAAGATAAATTAGGAGAGCAGCATTAATGTCACAATGAGAGTAGATATGGAAGCAAGGCCATAAGGACATCTGCATTCTGTTCTGTAACTCATGATAAGGCACACCTGCACGTGCGCCCACACTCATTTGTAATGACTTCTAAAAAATATGAGTACCCGAGAACTTCAGCTGAACTTACAGTTGACAGCTCAGTGGACAGTGAACAAGATATATTGTTGAGCATTGTTTTTTGGCTGAGTCATCGCTTTTGAAACAGGAAGGAAAGACCTTAACTGGACATGGGTAAGATCCCTGAAAGACCCTGAGACTTTATTGGTGGCGGGCACCTGAGAGATTTAAGATCCCATTAGCGGAGAAGCTGATGGAGGTGTGTAATGTGTAAATTTGGGTGGAGTATTAAGACACAGAAATGTATTTAAACTGTGTGCAAGCCTATGTTCGGCAGACACTCGAACGACCTGTCTCTGTTGTTACTGATGTAACAATAAACTGCTTTGCCTAAAGACTTCAGAGATCTCGGACTTTGTCATTTTTTTGAAAAATTTGACTTGGAGACTTTAATATTTTGCAGACCAGAATCTTTTTTCCACAACACTGTCAGATCCTGTGTTCCATGTCATGTGATCTTCCCTCATGTTTTCATTCTCCATGTGTGTTTGTTTTCATCATGTGACCCTTTTGTTCTAGTTCCCGCCATTTGTAAATGTTCATTATTTCCACCTGTGTCTCACCCCTGTATGCAATCAGTTTAATCATCTCCAGTGTATTTACATTCCTGTGTTTTGTTCAATCCTTCATCTTGTTCTCTCAATTGTGCTTCGTTGGCAACCCATGTTGTTCTTGAGGCTCCTGCGTTATCGAAGGCCTTCCAAGTGAGTGTTTGTTAATAAATCTACGTATTTGATTAATCTAGCGATCCTTTTACCTTCCTGAGTGAGCCAAGGCAATACAACTGAGGCCTAAGACTTTTGGACAGCACTGTAAATACAACAGGGACAAAATACATTAAATGGAGCCAACAAAAGGACATGATTTCACAAATGCATCATTTTTCCCTTTTTTTTTTTTTTTGTCCAGACAAACAAATCAAGACAGTGGAACTACAAGTGTGAACACATCCTTAAAGAGTTGCACTTATCGTCTACTTTTGAAAATTAACCACATGCTTATTTTGATTGGTTCCGAGCAGGTGTTATATCACATTGGCCCAGACTTTAGGAATGAGTATGGGAGGAGCTCCAGCTGGAAAAACTGAAACCACGTAGTTGTCTTTAATTGCTCTGACCAGATGGATTTCTGTGGACTGGGCCGCAGGTTAAATAAACTTCTCAAACTCCAAATTAATCTTAACAAAGCACCTGTTCATTAGAATAGAGGGTGAATATTTCAAGTGTTTGACGTTTTTCAGACGATGATCAATGTTTGTAATGTTTGTCAAACAGGATTAGTCCAGTCTGGTGCTTGGGGTTGTTTTGAGTTCAACCGCATCGAGTTTGGCATTTTTCTTACTATGGTAATGGGACTAATTTTAGCCCCATTTGTCCATGATTTATTAAGGTGTTTTCGAAATACCTGGAACAAGGGCACTTATGATTTACTTAAAACACTTTAACAACTTTCCTTCCCTGCTTTATTAACGGTTGCCACAGCGGAATGAACTACCAATTACTATGGCATATGTCTTACCATCAGATACCTTTCCTGCCCACAACCCAGCACAGAGTGACTCATGAACCCCCAGTGCTGAGCTCTGTATGAAATCCATTACATTATCTCAATGTAATCAATATTTAAATGAAATTGTATTTTTTAATGGGGTGAAACTGTGGTGCAGTAGGTAGTGCTGTTGCCTCACAGGAAGAAAGTTGCTGGTTTGAGCCTCAACAGGGGGCCTGTTTCAGCAAGGAGGTTCAACCAACTCAGTTTAAACTTGAACTCTGAGTTGATTTACTGAGAGATTAAAACTTCTGAGTTTTTGGTTTCAGAACAGCTGATCTGAGTTGGGTCAATCAACTTTGAGTAGACCAACTCTGAGTTAAGCGCTCGCACCGTGACTATAAAAAGGCATTCTCAATGGAGCGCAGATATTACGAGTGACTATGGCAATATCTTAAAAAAAGAGATCACTATTTCTTTCTCCAGCTGAACTTGATCTACGAATGCATAGTTATAGCATATATGACCATATATTTTGAAAAGTAACACCACTGCATCAGTGAAACAGAGACAGTTAGAATGAGCAAACATAGCTGCTTAAGCTAATGCATAACCCTGCTTTCTCTAGTTTAACAAACCTGCCATTTTCAAACTGAAAACCTAGAGTTTCTCTCAATTCAGGGTTAAAATACTCTGCGTTTTCACTTAACCTCCTTTCTGAAAAGGCCCCTGGTCAGTTGGCTTTTCTGTGTGGAGTTTGCATGTTCTCACCGCGTTTGCGTGGGTTTCCTCCGGATGCTCTGGTTTCCCCCACAGTCCAAAGACATGCGGCACAGGTGAATTAGGTTGGCTAAATTGTCCGTTGTGTATGTGTGTGAATGAGTGTATGGGTGTTTCCCAGTGAAAAGGGACTAAGCCGAAAAGAAAATTAAATTAATGCATTTTTTTTTTTATCACAAAATCCGGGTTATGCTGGTCGGCAGGAGCTGCCTGAGAACTTCAGAGAGATTCAGTGTCGCAAATTGGCTATGATGGTGCTGACCGAGCCATCTTTATGAGGGTGAAACTTGCCAGCGCAGGTTTTCGGAAAAATCAAGTCCTCAGCCGCAAGTTTTACACTCTTTATAAACTGTGTGAGGAACAGCTTTCCAAACAGGTACCCTCAAATCATTGTCAACACAAAATTTAATGAGCTGGTAAGTTGTCATGAGGCCCTTTCATTTCAGTGTAGTTGTTACATTTGGTTATACAGCAATGCATGTAATGCAGAATCAGTTTTATTATTATACTGATAATGCGCTATCAATAAAATCTAAAACCAAATGTGCTTTAGCATGGTAAATCCTGCTTTAAATAATATTACATTTAATTGCTTATTTAAATTTGTCAAATTACAATTTTTATTTATTTAAGTTTTTTTGGGAAAACAGCATTTTAAATTATACAATAATTATACAAATGTTTGTTTTTCATGATTTATGAGTTTGTCATTGTCTTGATTTGAATAAGCTAAGTAAAAATATAAATAAAAACTAAATGTTTTGTTTGTATGACAGCTCTTGCTGATGCTTATTCAGACTTTTTGAATACTCAACAGGTGCATTATGATGACTTTGGCTTGAGGAACATCTTGTCTGTTTTGAGAACGTTGGGTGCTGTTAAGAGGTCCAATCCAACAGAGCCAGAAAAGACTGGGATCATGAGAGTCCTGCGTGACATGAACCTCTCCAAAATGGTGAATATAATCCAAATCTGATCAGTGAAGCAACAGAACAGATGTGTTGTTGTCACGGGTACTCTCCGCAAATAACTCGTCCTGTCTTTATTCAGGTTGATGAAGATGAGCCTCTGTTCATGAGTCTGATCAATGACCTGTTTCCGAGGATCATGCTGGATAAAGCTGGTTACCCTGACCTGGAAGCTGCTATCACCAAACAAGCTGAAGAAGCAGGACTGATTGCACACTCACCCACCCTGGATTCTCAAACTTGTGCAACTGTATGAGACTTGGTTAGTCATTCATTATTCATTTGACAAATATATGTTAAATGCTCTGAGTACACAGAGTGGAGGCTGTTGTTCTGTTTGTTCTCTGTACATGGGTATGATGACCCTTGGCCCAAGTGGAACTGAAAAAACTACATGTGACCACAGCTAATGACTGGACAGATGGCCAGGTGACCATTAGACACGAGGGTAGTATTCACATACAGTTTAAGAAGGTATCTAATAGTGTGAAGTGTTTACAACTTCAATTCAGAAATGGATCAATATTAGCCTGTTAACCGTTTATGCATATGAAAAGCTCTATTGATTTTCTTTTTTGACATTGCCCAAGGAAAGGTCAGACAGAATTGTGTGCACTGTTTTTAAAAGCTTTCATTGACTATTGAGATACTGTATCTAAAACCGGTTATTACTATTATTATACTTGTTTTAAACTCTTCCCTACATTTTCTACAGGATTTGATGAATTTTGTCTTCACTGCCCAAAATGCAGCTGCTTGAATACGTGTGCATAAAGCAGACCATTGATTTATTACAGGTAAATAGATATGTGAAGTCATTAGGTTTTATGCTGTATTGAAAACGCATTAAAGGGGTAGTTCATCCAAAAATGTAAAAAGCATACTCGCCATTTACTTACCCTCAAGTTGTTGCAAACTTTCTAAAACGCAAAAGAAGATATTTCGAAGAATGCTGGTAACCAGTAGCCATTGATATCCATAGTGGGAAAAAATAGACTATGGTAGTCAGTGGTTTTCCCAACATGCTTCAAAATATCTTGAAGGCGAAAGAAATTCAAACAGGTTTGGAACTAGTTAAGGGTGTGTAAATGATGACAGAATTCTCATTTTGGGTGGACTATTCCTTTAATATAGATGTCTATCATAGATGTTGTCCCTTACTGATTTCTTTATTTACTCTTTTAGTTAATTTTGAGTTTCCTGCATTATTTAATTAACTTCTTAAGACTTGTATTAACTGGTATTATTTTTTTTTTTGCGTTGCAGGCATGTTTGTTTATATATATATATAAATATATATATATATATATATATATATATATATATATATATATATATATATATATATATATATATATAT